GTTGGCAAACTGGCTCTCGAAACATATATGAATCTTTCAGAACATCTATGTAGTTCTGAATTAAAATTGAAAATTTTTGAAGGACATTCAGATAACTGTGATTTCATGTGTTCATAAAAATATATTTATGGTTCTTGAATAATTCTTACATTGTTCTATCTCAAAAGTGTGCCGACCACTGGTCTAGCCTAACATAGTAACAAAACACCGAACCAACATTCGCAGAATATTAGGTAATTTGTGTACAAGTCCATGGACGTCAGTCATTTCAACAGCTGTATCGCACATTCATTTTCACGAGTAAGGAATGATAACTTTTCATTTAGCGATCTTGATTTGGAAATGGAAGAAGTTCAGTAGAGATACTGCAATGAAATTTTAAGAATGTGGCTGGATATTCTTCTGACGTGATATCAGGGGAGGTAAAACTTTTTAAAAATAAGATAAACTGAAAAATTAATGATATTTTTAACATATAAAAGGTTATGTTGTATATATTTTTAATTCACCAATAACAAAAACAGCCACTCTGTGAGTTATTTTAGGAGAAATTTTGGGTATTTGTACTAACTTTTGGCAGGTAACTTATTTTACTTTAACAAACAGAAAATTTTTTTTTTACTGAAATAGAAGAGTTCATTTATAGTAAAGCAGATTCCAAAAGTACCCTAACAAACAATAGATTCTTCTTTTTAATCTTCAGATATTGATGAATGCTCCTTCCAGAATATCTGTGTCTTTGGAACATGTAATAATTTGCCTGGAATGTTTCATTGTATCTGTGATGATGGCTATGAATTGGACAGAACAGGCGGGAACTGTACAGGTATGGCTAATCAAGGGCCAAATTGTGTTCTGGTGAACGTGAATACACTATTCTAGGTCTAGGGATTTCTCAGATTTTCCCTAACTAAACTTAGCTTTTCAGTATGGTTTGGGTGGAAGCTTAGAGAGCAATTTACCCCTTCAGTAATCCAGATACATTTTTTAAACACTTTTATTGGCACTTCATCCACGTATCATACAATTCAAGAGTTCAGTCATAGCAGCAGAGTTGTGCAGTCAGCCACACACATTTTGTTTCAGGGCACACCTTGCATCCACTCAATATAACCGCACCCCACGCCCGTCCTACCTCAGTTCCCAGTTCCCATCTGCCCTTCATGCCTGCCTCTTCCTGCCTTCCAAAACTTACTTTGACGGAAATGCTGCCCTTTGGCTCCCATGTGATTGCTCTTTCTGAGGAACACGTTCTTGACAAGTGATATTTTCTGGCTAAAAGGTGATCTCCCGGTGTGGGCTCAGTCGCAAGGTAGAATGGTTTCTAAGGGCCATATTCTTGGAGGTTTCACTGTCTTTTGCACCAGTAAGGGTAGTCATCTTTTCATTTTGGATTTTGGGTCTGCATTTTTCTCACGCTGTCCGTCCTTACCCTTCTGCTAGGACCCTAATCAGAATGATCTATAGTGGCAGGCAAGCCCCATCCAGTTTTCTAGTTCTAGGGCTAGTCGAGGCTGTGGTTTCTGTCATGGCTTCTGAGTCTTTGATTAGCTGCTCGTTTCCCGCCCTTCACGGGAAGGGACCTAGAGTTGTATCTCAGATAGCCACTGGTAGATTTTCATGTTTCCAAGGGGAAAAAATGACATTCCTACATACTTCTAATCATGACACTGCTCTTAAATGACAGTCAACTTCTGTTTAAACAGATTAGTAATACATATCTTACTACAAAATTATTTTTGTATATGTATGCACATACAATTTTAGTTTAGAAAATAAATAATTTTACCTCATAATTCTACCACTTAATAGTTTAGGAAGCATAATAAAGAGCTTCGTTATAGTAGCAGTGTACTTCATCTAAGCAGCATATTTTAGATATATACAAGGATTTGAAAGTGGCTTAGAAGTGGTTC